GCACACTGTTCCATGCGCTGGGAAGAATGCTTATCGGGCTGTTGTTGGGGGCAAGGGGATGTGTCTGTGAGGTCAAGACTGTTGTCTAGATCTGTATCATCACCGAGTCTCTCTACTGGTTCTGTCCTTCAACAAACCAAAGTCGCTGCCGGCAAGTCTATGCGAGTCTATCAACCCTAAGGACAGAGGAGGACTACCCTGTGAGCTTCTGAGACTGTAGCTGTTTGCAGAATTCAAAAGTTCCAGCTTTCTCCCACACCTTCAACAAAGTAGTGTATTTAAAGTCTCCTACTATGATTGTGGGCTTATCTGTATCTTTCTTTCTTTTTAAACTCAGTTAAAGTATGATTTTGGTATTTGGGGGATCTTTCACCAGGAGTGTAGATATGTATCTTGTTGGATTAACTCTTAATTAATATATAATTTCCTTCCTTGTTTCTTGCTGAGTTTTGCCACAAAACATGCACAAACAGCATCGCCACTCCCACTCTTTTTCGGCTGTTTTTCCGCCTTTAGATTTTTAGCTTATTGTTTCCTTGTGTCTAAGGTGTGTCACTTAAGGTTAGCCTATTGATGGGTCATGAGTTCTTATCCAGGAGCCCTGGTGACATAGTGGGTTACTCATTGGGTGGCTAGCTACAACGTCAGCAGTTCAAAACCACCAGCCACTCTTTGGGAGATAGATGAGGCTTTCTACTGCAGGAAAGAGTTACCGTCTCAGAAACCAGCAGGGACAGTCCTGTTGTGTCCTATACAGTCGCCACCAGTCAGCATTACCTTGATGGTCATCTGATGGCATTTTGAGTTTGGTTTGCTTACCCATTGTGCCACACTTTGGTGCATTTAATCCATTTTCATGCAGCGTAATTATCAATAGGCTTGAATATAATACCATCATTTATTGTGTTCTCTATTGTAGTGTTGATTTATTTTTGGTTCTGAGTATTTTTCTTTTCAATGAATTCATTTCAATGAATATGCTCATTTTGTTGACAGATTTCATTAAAATGTTCCTTACTGTTACTGTTTTAATACTGAGTGAAACCGTATGGTTTATCTTGTTGAGGCTAATTGATTTCCTTTGAGGTTACTCTGTAAATTCTTTCTTCCCCAATTTAAAATAATATATTCTATCTTGATATCATCTTGCCCTCTTCTCCATTGGGAAACTTCTCCATTTGGAACTTCATTACTTATTTACTCACTGTTTATATTGTCACTGTTTATAAATTTATTCTCTAGTGCCCTATTTTCAGTCTTGTAGGCTTATTTTTGGTTTTTTGTTCTTTAAAACATTTTTTTTAAATTTTTGTTTCTTAATCTTCACTGTATGTTATTGTGGTTTTCTGTCTGAAGGACTCCCTTTAGCATTTCTGGAAAGGTTGGCCATCTTTTTATGAAGTTCCTTAATTTCGATTTACCTCTCATATTTCCTATTAGGGAATTTCCTCCCAACAAATCAAGAATGGGTGCTTTTCCATTAGGAAATCAGAATAGGTGCAAGTTATTCCTGTTGATGGTGTAACGTGATTCTTGGGCTTTTTTCTCTTTGCTCTTCTAACAGATTCCTACTCAGATACTTGTTTTCAACTTCCCATGGATTCAGTGCTACTCCTGTGTCGGTATAATGTGTTATCTATGTCTGATATTTAATACTGATCATCTGGATATGTACATGGGATTTCCAATTTTCCTTTTGTCACTTATTCTTGTATTATTTTCTTGAATTCTTCT